ATTTTTAGTCTTTACAGTTAAAATATATGTTTATCAAATAAAGTCTAATGTTACAACTTATCAGGGATCCCTTTAAAAACCAGTGCTTCTGCATGAAATCTAATTGTGCAGCCTGTTTCTGTTGTGTGGGGGAGTGCAGAGGTGTGGAGATGCTTCACAGGGTCGCCGAGGTGAAAGAGCTGAAAACATATTTTGTATATTTATAGTTTACTGCTCATTTCTGCTGAAGCTGCTGTGGAAAGAAGAATGGCCCAATGTGAACACAGTTCTAAGGCTCTAAGAATAACAGAAAGTGCAGCTGGAACCTCTCCTGCTGCATCTGCTGAATGCCCACGTATGTGTCCAGGTTGGTAAATCCACACTGATGTGTGCACAACTTGCATGAAATCCTGTTGAATGTGTGAAGCATGGAGGAACACCCTCCTTATCAGAGGACACAGCTTGCTGTAGAACATTTCCAGCTTTTTAAGTAAATCTAAAAGCCACCTTTTCAGAAAATGTAAAAAAAAAAAAGTGCTCTGAACTGAATTTCTATAACCCAGAAGTCCTTCGAGGTATGTTAAGATAAGAAAAGTATGAGATTTAGCAGATTATCTCACGACTTATGCCCCCTAATCGYGCATCGAAGGTCACTTTGACTTATCGGAAGCTGCTGGTCCTCGAGGAATACGAGAGCCGAGCCAGCTCATTCCGACTCCAACACGCAGACTGAGCAGAACAAAAGGTCGACAGGGAAGCAGGATAAACCCTGCTGACAGCGAGCGGGCAGAAACCGCTGCAGCTCCGCCAGCCAGTCCCTCAGCACTTATGCATGRCGGTAAGAGACTGCGACGGTGAGCGGGTTCAAGCAGGGGCCGCGAGCCTGAGAGCTCTCCAACCTCTGACGGACCGCTCGACGGGACTTTGGATGAAAATAAAACAAGTGCAAAGCAGAGGAGAGGTCGACAAGGAGAGACAATCAATGAGGTAACTCATTGTTGACCAAAAGGACTAATTAGGTAAGTCCTTCATCAGTTCTTCATTCAGTCTGACAGAACACCWATAAATTAATACAAAGAGGATTAAACAGTCGAAGCATTGAAAGCTGCTGTTCTGACCTTATGGAAGCTGCCGAAGAACAGCTTTTTAATTTCTGGCCCTTCAAAGGTGACTGTCTGAAAGTCTCCCCTGTAATCGTTGTTGAAGAAAGTCAGTGTTTTTCCTCCATCTGCAGGAAGAAACAAAAACTGCACGTCAAAATATACAAATCAAAACTAAAATTATATTTTTTAACTGTTGTGAAGGCTAATAATGAAGATAATGTGCCTACAAGCCATTTATAAAGCACATAAAGAAATATAAACATTGTATACATTTTACATCATCAGTAAAAATGTAAGTTCAAACCTGACAGGTTAAATTATATAGAACAGGGATGAAACTGACATAATTAGAAGTAAAAGTAGAAATATATAAATGGACCAATAAATAC